AGTCATCGTCAGCCGCGATATCTCAAAATCAAATATGTAACGATGACAGAATTTCAGTCGCCAACAAAGGTGAGGGTCCAGTAGTTCAAACTAATAAAATCGAATAAAATTCGAATCCAATCCATCAGCTTTGCACGATGCATGGGAACATGACTAAAACGAAGAGCCGATTGCTTTCTCATCCTCTAGCCCTTTGCGCTTTACAGGTAAATGCAAACCCAGTGGAGAAATTCATGTTCCTCAGGGTCATGTTTACAAGTGATGGGAAACTTGAGGAGACCGGCGGATTGGAAGAGTTAGTAAAGTTCTGCTTGAAATGGCCCAAACCTCTGTGACTCCGTCTGAAGATTAATTCTTTGTGTTCAAGTCAATTTTTATCCCCTTGTTGAAATATGAGGACGAGTCTTAGGCCATGAAGTTGAACTGCGATACAAGGGCAAGCGACAACGAGCTTTCTGAGACGAATCTTTGACTTCTCTCCACTTGAAAGGGTTGAATTAAGGTATCTAAGAAAGTCTTGGTGTACAGCCACTGCTTCTTCAGATTGAGAAGTCACAGCTGTGATGACTTGGGCATGTGTTGCGAATGCCTCCAGAAAGGAAGGCGAAGTATCTATCGCTTACAAAATAGATGGTCAAAGACCCCGAGAAGGTTCAGTATGACCGAAGCAAGTGCGGCGCCTGACTCCGTACCAAAACTCAGGTCTATTCTGTCAAACTCAGACTCTGGTGCAGAACCTGGAGCATTGCAGTCATTGTTGCTACCTCTACGACTAGAAATGATAAGTGGCCTTCACGCTGACTAATTGGTTCGCAAAGTCCGGAAGCAGTCTTAATTTATTCATAATCAATATGTTTTGCCTTTATTCATTTTACATACCTATAAATCGAAACCTACTCGAGATAATCATATATTAGAACATCATTCAGTCTTTTGGTGGACAGGAGGAAACTGAATGGTACAAAAGAGAAAATGCTTTCAGGTAGAAAGGTTTTAGATGCAATGGTCTGAGCAACAGCAATACACAAAGCCTTTATTCTGAGGCAACTTTTTGGAAACAGAAACTGTCATCGTCAGGGAATTTCAGAAGTGAAATAGTTTATAAAGAAGCAATATTAATTGCACACATTCTGGTCAACTCTTTAAAATATATATATTACACGTCATTTTCTGGGATTGTTTCTAATTGGCGCCATTTCTCCGCTACAGAGAATTGCACTATTGAAAATGCGTGCTACCAGCCAACCAACGCAAAGCAGATTGACGGCCTGCGAATAACCGGAACAATATGACCCCTGGCGTGGTATTCGGAGTCAGTTTGGCCGATGCGCTATTTACGGCTAACAGCGCATCTAGACGCGTTAAATAATTGATCTAATTTACGTAACATGTAACCGTAAGTTTAGAAAAAACCAATATATTTTGATGACGTCTGCAGAAACCCCTACGGATGTCTCGCTTCACATGTCATATCGTCATTGAGAAAATTTTGATCACGTACAGCACATCACCTTACATAAACAGCTTATGCCACGCAGATCTTGCAAAAACTAGATTTAATTTCTAATTACGGTTGCAACATGCAAGGATTTGGCATTGGTGCAAACCAGCGCTGAATGGTTTAAAATTATGAATATGATGCAAAGCTGAAGAGAAATCATCGTTTAATATAATCGGTTGGTTATGCGGGATAATACCAAGCATCGATTCAGTAACAGATAAATTCAATAGTTGTTTCTTTACGAACGGTTGGAAGCAGTCAAGCGCACGAATCTATGAATACCTTGCGCAAAGCTATGGTACACTGCTATGGTAACTGTATGTCTATCCGTTGGAATGATAGATAACGCATAATTCAATATTTTTGTCGTTATTTCAACGTCTTTTGATCTGCTGAAAGCCATGCTAAAACCTGCCTGCTGATATATGTCATTGCAATAAGGATCTATTATATTAATACGTCAGCAATGTCTTCGTTCATAGTGCAACGGGCCTCCATGTGGGTTTGCATGGTCGAAGGATTCGGTTTTCAGCGTCCTGAAGATTTGCTGTCGTGTAAACGTTTGCACACAAATACTGTATAAGTTTGCGTGATGGAGCAAAACCACTCGCACACAAAGTAATAACAGTCAAACAACGTAAGGCCCTTTTATGACCTTCTTTGTTTGAAGGCAGGGCCAATCCGAGTGCAATAGAATTCACCAAAATTGCTGATTGCTTCGCTCATGTAGCCTAAGTTACTGTACAGCTTAACGGCCAGAACTTCCCACCTCGGACAGTTCATTTGTCATTCCTGACGCTGCTAGCTCAATAGATATAGTTCATAACTATCGAATTCGAAGGACCATTTCGCTGAGCGAAACTCAAAAAATATCAGGTCTTTGAGCCCGCTAAAATAGTCTTACTTACAGTATGACTCGTTTGATTTATTTTGCTGTTAGTCATTTACGTGATTTTCTCAGACTTTCACATTCCGATGAACATGATTCTATGGTGATCTGGTTTAAATAGTATTTAGTTTCATTAATTCTTCAAACGAACTCTTATGAAGATGCTTACGATGACACGACTACAGTAGTATCTAAAAATAAAATACTGCCTTAGTTTTCGTCACTGACATATGATACGGTATAAGCAGTTGTTGATATTTCGCCATTACGCACTAATTAATTTAACAATTACAATTGAAACCGTTTTTCATAATTACAAAAGAAAGCAAAAGATGCAACAAAACACTGCAGCTGTTCAGAGGCACAACCTTTACACATTACAGATGTTCACTGCACTGACGTAAGAATTATTGCTAATTAATTAAACAATTAATCAGATTCGCCGCTATCTACAATGTCCTGCAAACGAGAAAATAATTTCCTGCAATCAGCACCGCTGTGGCTGTCGCCGGAAGATTGCTCATCCGACTGCACCTCCTCCGCTTGCGAAGTAGCGATCATCTGCTCGTGGAAAGAACTCTGTTTATTTCTGTTTCGTAACCTTCCTACAAAAAGCATGATCAAATCAAATCATCATGATAAAACAAACGCACCCTCCGTCAAGATATTTCCAGCGTCCAGTTCAGCAAGTTCTTTTTTCTCTTCTTGCTGAATCCGAAATGCCTTGCACTTTTCCATTGATAAATGGCCTGAAAGAAACTAACAGCATGTTTAAAATATAATTTCTTTCTTAATGAAAATTTTCCATCAACCAGGATTTATTGGAAATGTCTAGAGAACGGCAGAGGGATAGTAGGTTGCTTTATACTTTAAAGATCCAGGGTTCAAACCCCAAGCGCGACGTAATTTTCTCTTATTCACTGCTAATTTCTTTGAGCAAGGAATTCACCGGCAGCAGGCTAGTCAGCTGTGAAAAATAGGACCTCATGGTACCTTGATGTGGTCATGAGAAAGCATGAGACAAAATACCATGCCGCATGGCTTGACCCACATTACATCTGATTAACAATCAGTACAAGTTGTAAACGTTAATTCAAAAAACTAATTTAAATCAATAAATATTAAGTTGGAGGGTGAAAACATGGACCTGATCATTTTCTGGTTTTGAATAAGACGGGATAGAATATAACAGAGCTCAATTAGCCAAATGTTTGGAGTGAACATATGCGTTTCATTTTTGTGTGCTGAAAAATGCTCTTTCATGTTCAGGCAATAAAACGGTCATTTATAAATTCCTCGCTAGATACATAACCATCGCTGCGATAGCCTGATGCATGCACAGGTAAAAGAACATCTCAAAATGATGAGCATGATTCAGTGCAACGTCTCACCATGGTTTTCTCATGAAGATTATGAGCGAAATAAGAAGCAGATACATAATACGACCCGGCCCCTTCGCTAATAGCCACCAGAGACTTTCCTCAATAGCGAGCTATTCGGTTGTCATTGGATTATCTGATCGAGACTTTTCCTTTATCAGCTTTTAACGCCGCTTGAGACAAAACTGTCGCACAAAGATCAGCAAAATCTGAAGAGATTCGGTACAATCCATGGATATCCGGTACGAAGAACTAGTTCGCAAACTTCTTGGACCGGAACGGTTTCTTGGCGTCAACATTCCATCTTGAACGTGATTTCTACCTTTCAACGGTTGTATTCGACTGATCTGTTCGTTTGATGACAGAATTTTTCCAACAAGCACTATATTGACTTCCGTTTCAAATTTGAACGAATTACCTGCGGCAGCTACTGTTCGCGAGTTACTTCGCCTACTAACCCCATTAAAGGAATCATACACCAGTGCTAAGATTTCACCACTTTGAGAAATGTACTGGTCATGCAGGTCACGTGGTAACGGCAAGCACAGAAGAAGCGAAAACCCTCTACTCACAAATAAACCGGTTATGACAGCCCTTCCCCCTCCAACAATTCCCTGGGGTAATGAGCAAGAACTACAACAAGCGTAGAATCATCAGATGATACCTCGAGTCGAAGATGGCTATGGTCTAGCTGCACACAGATTCGCTGGCTAGGAAATAATTGCAAATATCACACGGCCGAACACAGTAGTGTCAACAGCTCCACTAAACGT